AAGAATTAAAGTTGATTTTATGATTTCGTGATTCCTAATTATTATTAATTTCCTTTTTATATATATATTTGTTTTCTATTTTTATATTTAGGTTTTTATGCACAATGACAATCTTGTAGTTGTGACAGTAATAAATTACATCTAAGCATATTTGGATAGGAAATTTAATTCTGAGTAGAATGATATAAAAATATTTAAAATTGCGTTTAAGATGTTAGCCTTTTCCTTTCGAACTTTTTCGCGACAAAAATATTATTTTTTGAACCGGAAATGTAAAAAAATACATCTAAGCATAATTGGATAGGAAATTTAATTCTGAGTTCAATGATATAAAAATACTTAAAATTGCGTTTAAGATGTTAGCCTTTTCCCTTCGAACGTTTTTACCACAAAAAAATTTTTAAAATTTATTTTTTGAACCGATAACGTAAAAAATTACATCAAAGCATATTTAGATAGGAAATTTAATTCTGAGTTCAATGATATAAAAATTTTTAAAATTAAATTTAAGATGTTAGCCTTTTCCCTTCGAACATTTTCGCGACAAAAATATTATTTTTTGAACCGGAAACGTAAAAAAATACATCTAAGCATAATTGGATAGGAAATTTAATTCTGAGTACAATGATATAAAAATACTTAAAATTGCGTTTAAGATGTTAGCCTTTTTCCTTCGAACGTTTTGGCGACAAAAATATTATTTTTTAAACCGGTAACGTAAAAAAATACATCTAAGCATAATTGGATAGGAAATTTAATTCTGAGTAGAATGATATAAAGATACTTAAAATTACGTATAAGATGTTAGCCTTTTCCCTAATCCAGTACTCACAATATTGTTATACTTACTATCAATTTAGTTTTGAAAAAAAACTTAAATAGAATATATATATAATTTTAAAAATTCCATTATTTTAAAATGACCAAATATAATTTAATTAAAAATATAAATTAAAAATTAATAAAATTAAAACCGCAATTTATTTCAAAGAATTAATAAAAAAATTGAAAAGATCTAAAAATTTCCATTTTTTAATATATTATAATGTAATGTTATTATAATATTTTTCTCGTAAAAAAAGCAATAAATCAATCAAATTACACATTAATCATTTTCTTTGTTATTTTTATTTTCAATATTATTTTTTAGCCTTTCGTATCATGCAGCCTTTCGACTTATAGACCTACCCCAATATTTTATTTTTTTATTATTTATGTGGGTTATAAAAACACTGAAAAAGAAGTATATTTTTATTCTGTTTATTATTTGGAAATAAAAGTAAATTATATAGAAATAAGAAATTGATACATTAATATATTAATATCTGAGATAAAATTATAAGGAAATCAAAATATATAGAAATAAGAAATATATTTAGAAATAAGAAATTGGTGCCGTGTTGAACACTAGAACCTGGAGGTTAACCGCTGGGAGATTTACATATATTTTTAAGCGAAAAAAGCGCTAATAAGTTAAAACGGTAAAGCGTTGATAAATTTTCAGATATTGTCAAAGCGAAAAAAGCGCTAACACAATAAGTTAAAACGGTAAAGCGTTGATAAATTTTCAGATATTGTCAAAGCGAAAAAAGCGCTAACACAATAAGTTAAACCGGTAAAGCGTTGATAAATTTTCAGATATTGTCAAAGCGAAAAAAGCGCTAACACAATAAGTTAAAACGGTAAAGCGTTGATAAATTTTCAGATATTGTCAAAGCGAAATAAGCGCTAACACAATAAGTTAAAACGGTAAAGCGTTGATAAATTTTCAGATATTGTCAAAGCGAAAAAAGCGCTAACACAATAAGTTAAAACGGTAAAGCGTTGATAAATTTTCAGATATTGTCAAAGCGAAAAAAGCGCTAACACAATAAATTAAAACGGTAAAGCGTTGATAAATTTTCAGATATTGTCAAAGCGAAAAAAGCGCTAACACAATAAGTTAAAACGGTAAAGCGTTGATAAATTTTCAGATATTGTCAAAGCGAAAAAAGCGCTAACACAATAAGTTAAAACGGTAAAGCGTTGATAAATTTTCAGATATTGTCAAAGCGAAAAAAGCGCTAACACAATAAGTTAAAACGGTAAAGCGTTGATAAATTTCCAGATATTGTTAAACCGAAAAAAGCGCTAACACAATAAGTTAAAACGGTAAAGCGTTGATAAATTTTCAGATATTGTCAAAGCGAAAAAAGCGCTAACACAATAAGTTAAAACGGTAAAGCGTTGATAAATTTTCAGATATTGTCAAAGCGAAAAAAGCGCTAACACAATAAGTTAAAACGGTAAAGCGTTGATAAATTTTCAGATATTGTCAAAGCGAAAAAAGCGCTAACACAATAAGTTAAAACGGTAAAGCGTTGATAAATTTTCAGATATTGTCAAAGCGAAAAAAGCGCTAACACAATAAGTTAAAACGGTAAAGCGTTGATAAATTTTCAGATATTGTCAAAGCGAAAAAAGCGCTAACACAATAAGTTAAAACGGTAAAGCGTTGATAAATTTTCAGATATTGTCAAAGCGAAAAAAGCGCTAACACAATAAGTTAAAACGGTAAAGCGTTGATAAATTTTCAGATATTGTCAAAGCGAAAAAAGCGCTAACACAATAAGTTAAAACGGTAAAGCGTTGATAAATTTTCAGATATTGTCAAAGCGAAAAAAGCGCTAACACAATAAGTTAAAACGGTAAAGCGTTGATAAATTTTCAGATATTGTCAAAGCGAAAAAAGCGCTAACACAATAAGTTAAAACGGTAAAGCTTGATAAATTTTCAGATATTGTCAAAGCGAAAAAAGCGCTAACACAATAAGTTAAAACGGTAAAGCGTTGATAAATTTTCAGATATTGTCAAAGCGAAAAAAGCGCTAACACAATAAGTTAAAACGGTAAAGCGTTGATAAATTTTCAGATATTGTCAAAGCGAAAAAAGCGCTAACACAATAAGTTAAAACGGTAAAGCGTTGATAAATTTTCAGATATTGTCAAAGCGAAAAAAGCGCTAACACAATAAGTTAAAACGGTAAAGCTTGATAAATTTTCAGATATTGTCAAAGCGAAAAAAGCGCTAACACAATTAGTTAAAACGGTAAAGCGTTGATAAATTTTCAGATATTGTCAAAGCGAAAAAAGCGCTAACACAATAAGTTAAAACGGTAAAGCGTTGATAAATTTCCAGATATTGTTAAAGCGAAAAAAGCGCTAACACAATAAGTTAAAACGGTAAAGCGTTGATAAATTTTCAGATATTGTCAAAGCGAAAAAAGCGCTAACACAATAAGTTAAAACGGTAAAGCGTTGATAAATTTTCAGATATTGTCAAAGCGAAAAAAGCGCTAACACAATAAGTTAAAATGGTAAAGCGTTGATAAATTTTCAGATATTGTCAAAGCGAAAAAAGCGCTAACACAATAAGTTAAAACGGTAAAGCGTTGATAAATTTCCAGATATTGTTAAAGCGAAAAAAGCGCTAACACAATAAGTTAAAACGGTAAAGCGTTGATAAATTTTCAGATATTGTCAAATCGAAAAAAGCGCTAACACAATAAGTTAAAACGGTAAAGCGTTGATAAATTTCCAGATATTGTTAAAGCGAAAAAAGCGCTAACACAATAAGTTAAAACGGTAAAGCGTTGATAAATTTTCAGATATTGTCAAAGCGAAAAAAGCGCTAACACAATAAGTTAAAACGGTAAAGCGTTGATAAATTTCCAGATATTGTTAAAGCGAAAAAAGCGCTAACACAATAAGTTAAAACGGTAAAGCGTTGATAAATTTTCAGATATTGTCAAAGCGAAAAAAGCGCTAACACAATAAGTTAAAACGGTAAAGCGTTGATAAATTTTCAGATATTGTCAAAGCGAAAAAAGCGCTAACACAATAAGTTAAAACGGTAAAGCGTTGATAAATTTTCAGATATTGTCAAAGCGAAAAATGCGCTAACACAAATAAAATTGAAGCGAATAACCGCTGTAAAATTTACAAAAATTAGTAAGGCGGAAAAAGCGTTAAAACAAATAAAATTGAAGCGAGTAACGGCTGTCAAATTTACAAGAATTAATAAAGCGAAAAAAGCGCTATTACAAATAAAATTGAAGCGAATAAAACACTGCAGATTTGTAAAGATTTTTAAAACTAGTAAAGCACTGTTACAAAGGAAATTGAAACGAATAAAACGCGGAAGATTCGCAAATATTTTTAAAGCGAGTAAAGCGCTATTTAAAAAAAATATAAAGCGAATAAGTCGCTTGATATTTGCAAATATTATCAGAGCGAGTAAAACGCTATTACAAAAATTATACTAGTAGTGTGAAATTATTAGTTAAATTGCTGAAATTTAAAACGAATTTTACATTAATTTTCGTGAATTAATTATTTGAAACAGAGTAAACACAGAATAGTGTTTTTAGTTTAAAATATCATACAAAGAATAGTAGTGACATATAAGTTTTAGCCATTATATTTATGTATATGTGCTTTATTGGAATATTCACAGTCCTGATCATATCTTATCTCTTAACTCTCCAAGTGATAAAAATTTTTATTATAAAAGTTATAGTTAGTTTCTTGTGATTTGATTATGAAAAGTTTGAAATTCATAAAATACTGGGAGATCCAGTATAATATTCTTGGAGCACTTGTCATTTTAGTAATATGGATATGTAGTTTAATTTTTGGAAGAAGATTAGAAGTAGTAGAAATATAAGGATTAAAAGCCAAACATTGACCATCGTAATGGAGAAGAAGATGTGATGGGTAAGGTAACCTGGTTACCTGTACAGGAATTGATATGGACTGATAGTAGCCTAGGAGAGTTGAATATGATAGGATTGATAACACGCAAAAAAGAGACCGTTATAGAGGGTCGGGATATAACAATCAATTGGGGCCATATAGATGGTCAAGAGAAAATTCACAGGGAAGATGAATGGAAATAAGGCCAGGTTTTAATCCAGGGGAAGAGAAAATCTAAATTGTTATAATTGTGGAAAACAGGGCCATATGGTAAGAGATTCCCAAGAAACGAAATGTTTCGAATGTGGAAAATTTGGGCATATAGCTCCTTATTGCCCGGGAAAGTGTCATAAATTACGTTGTGCGGGTTGTGGACGATTTGGTCATAATAGGGAAGAATGCAATATTGCCAATTTCAATACAAGGGGCGGTTTTCCACAGAGAAATATGGCTCAAATTGCTCCAAATATAAGAATTCTTGAAAGCGGGAAAAATAAGGATATAGAAATATCCAATTTAACGGAGAATAAAAGTTTAAATAATATATGTTTTCGATGCCGCAAGGAAGGACATGTGGCGAGAGAATGTCAGTATTTGTGACTATATGATAGCAAAAGATATACCACAGAGGTCGAGAAGCGGTGGGTCAAGGAAATGGAGAAATTTAATTATGGGAATAAAAGGGAGAAGTCGAAATGTATAAATATGATCCAAGAGGAAATAGTGCATGATCCTTGCCCTAGAGTATGGATTAATTTGAATGGGAATATGGTTTTCATGTTATTTGACACCGGGGCAGCTATCTCTGTGATGGGATATGAGAAATTTCGGAGTATTTGGTCGGAGGGAATGATTAAAAGCGAAGACATCAAGATCCGGCAGTTGGATGGATCAGAAGTAGCCGTGATGGGAAGAGTAGAATTAAAAGTGATGTTGAATAATAGAGTGGAGATATTGGATTTATGGATAATTAATCGAAGAATAGAGACCGTATTGGGATGGGACTGGATCACGCGAATAGGTCTAGATTGTAATTTTTGGGGTATATTTGCTTGGTGCGGTATATTTGTACCTATTGAAAGAGATGAGGGAAATCAATATATGAATTATTGGTATAGAGATAAATTACCTGGAATTGAGACCTTTTTGGGGGAAGAAAATGGTGGAAGAGGAGATATCGGGGGGAATTTTAGAGGAGAAATCAGGGGGAATTATAGGGGAAATATCGGGGGGAATTATAGGGGAGATATCGGGGGGAATTCTAGGGGAGATATAGGGGGGAATTATAGGGGAGATATCGGGAGGAATTATAGAGGAGATATCGGGGGGAATTATAGGGGAGATATCGGGGGGAATTATAGGGATTGTCGCGACTTTAGGAGAAAAGAGGGAAGAGAGGATGCTGAAAGCAAGGAAGAAATTAATGATAATGAAGAATTAGAAGTAAAACTAGATGAAATTCCAAATGGTGAAACAAAGTTGCAGAAAGAATGGTCGGAAAATGATGGTATGAAACAAGGAAATACAAGAGAATATATAATCAAGAAATAATAATGAAGGAGAAAGAGACAGGGCAACAAAAAGACGAGGAATTTAGAAATGAAGAAATGGAATTTGCGATAATAAAGGTGCAAGAGGGAGTGCAAAGATTAGTGAATAATTATAAGGAAATCTTTGAAGAAAGTTTGGGATGCCTAAGAGATTATGAGGTAGATATCAAATTGAAGGGGGGACATGTACCAAAATTTTGTGCGTTACGGCGAATACCGTTTAAATGGCGAAATGAAGTGAACAAGGAATTAGATCAATGGGTCCAAAAAGGCATAGTATGTCCTGTAGAATATAGCCAATGGGCAACACCATTGGTACGGGTGAAAAAGGCCAATGGAAAGCTCCGTTTAGGCGCAAATTTTCGGGTCACGTTAAACCCGTGGGTGGTGGAAGTGAAATATCCTTGCCGCGAATTGAGGAAATATTAGCCAGTCTCAAAGGAAGTATATATTTTTCAAAAGTGGATTTTTCAAATGCCTACCTACAATTGCGGGTGAAGCCAGAGGTGCAGCGTCTATTGGCCATTACTACGCCGAAAGGATTGTTTGCGTTCTGTAGATTGCCATTTGGACTTAACATGTCGGCTCCGATTTTTCAACGAACAATGGCAGCTGTTTTTAAGGGTCTAGAAGGAGTGTTTTATTACATGGATGATGTATTAGTAATGGGAGAAACTCCTGAACATCATGAGCAAAGATTGGAGGAGGTGTTCAAAAGAATCAGGGATAAAGGGTTGCGGGCAAGCGCAGAAGAAAGTGTATTAGGAATGTCTGAGGTTATATATTTGGGTCATAAAATCAATGGAAAGGAGGTTAAGCCGTTGGACAAAAATATGGCGAGCATAACAAGCATGCTGAGACCTAATAATAAAGTGTAGGTACAGGCTTTCTTGGGAATGGTAAACTATTATCACCGTTTTGTGGAGAGTTTTGCACGGATAGCGGCACCGTTATATAAATTATTGAAAAAGGGAGAAAAATTTATATGGCAGGATGAGCAGGAAGAGGCCTTTGAAGAGTTGAAAAGTAAAATCGGAAAAGAACCTATCTTAGTATGCTTTAATAACGATTTGGAAGTCATATTGTCCGTGGATGCTTCAAATAGGGGTGTGGGTGGAGCCTTGCTTCATTACATAGACGAACTGGAGAGACTTATTTTGTTTTTCTCGAGAATTTTTAAGCAGCAGAGACAAGGTATTCAGTAATTGAACAGGAAGGCCTTGGCGGTTATTTTTGGATTGACCAAGTGCTGGGAATACTTAATTGGAAGCAGATTTATAATCTGCACAGATCACAAACCTTTAGTCCATCTTTTCAAAAAGGATAATAAGGAGCTGATGTTGTCTCCTCGTTTACAAAGATGGTTATTACTGGTTGGCAGTTTTGATGTGCAGGTGGAATATAGGCGGGGAAGGGAAAACTATTTACCTGATATTTTGTCTCGATGTGGGGCGGGAGAAGATGAAAGCGAAATAGGATCCGAAGAAGTGGAAGAAAAGAAAGAAAAGGGACTAATTCGAGCGGTAGCGAAGATAGCTAGAGGTGGCCCCGTGACTTGGGAGGAACTAAAAAGAATCACCGTGAAAGTTCGCGAACCAATGAGAATTAAAAGAAGTGTTAGGGGAAAGAGACCGTGGAGAGAGGGAGATAAACATTTTAAGTGCATAGAAAAAGAGCTGGCCATAGTGGATGAATGTCTGGTCCGAGGAAACCGAGGAGTAGTACCAATGAAATTGAGAGGCGCAGTGTTATCTATGATACACGCTGGACATCAAGGGATTGAGCGAATGAAGCAATGGGGGCGTGATTATGTGTGGTGGCCTGGCATGAATAAGGAAATTGAAAAAATTTGCCGAGATTGTTTGATGTGTAATTCATGGGCCAGTATGCCTCGTAAAGACAAGAGAAGCGTATGGCCGAAAGTGGTACGACCTTGGGAGATAATCCATTTAGATTTTCTCGACTTTGAAAACAAGATATATCTCCTGGTGGTTGATGCTTTTTCCAAATGGATAAAGTACGAAGAAGTGAGGGGATTGACAACTCAAGTCGTGATAAAAATGTTAAAAAAACTTTGGGCCCGATTTGGAGTACCTAATATAATAGTTCGGATGGGGGTCCGGCCTTCGTAAGTGGTCAATGCAAGTTATTTTGTGAGGAAACAAGGGCGAAACATGTTTTAACGCCGCCATATCATCCAAGCTCGAACGGCCAGGCAGAAAGAATGGTAGCACTTGTTAAGAGCTGGTTAAGAAAATCAAAGTATGGAGTTGGGGAAATTTGGATAGCCGTAGCCTATTATAACAACAGTCGAAAGGGAGAAGAACAGTCTCCAGCAGAGAAGTTTTTAGGGCGGCGAACCAGAATATTATTGGATTTATTAAAACCAAAACTACATCAAGAGGTGGAGAGAGAGATAACGGAGAAACCTGAATTTATAGTGGGACAAACCGTGTGGGCAAGAATATATGGAGGTACAAGAAGGTGGGAGTCAGGGGTCATCGTAGAAAACATTGGAAATAAATTAAGTCGAGTAAAATTCTCTGAAGAAAGAGAAGGAATAAGGCATCGGGACCAACTTAAAAGGGGACTGGAGCCAGGAAGATTACGATCAGGTGTTTGGAGCAAAATGATATTATATGTATTATATGAAATTAAAAGGAGATGTATGTGTCTATGTAACAATACCATGAAATAAATATATATATATGTAACGTTTTTTTTTAATATATCGAAATCAGTATATCCAAATTAATCATAGATTCGTTGATATAATGTTTAACATTGTTTAAAAATTCTTAATTTATCCAAAAATTAATCATAGATTCATGGATATAACATAAAAAATTGTTGGAAATCCCATGAGAATTATATGGGATTGAAAGGAAATATATTTGTAATAATCAGTGAAATATATATATATGTAACGCTTTTTTTTTAAAAAAAAATCGAAATTAGTATATCCAAATTAATCATAGATTCATTGATATAATGTTTAACATTGTTTAACATTGTTTAAAAATTCTTAATATACCCAAATTAATTATAAATTCATTGATATAATATATAAAATTGTTGAAAATCCCATGTTGGGATAATATGTATCTTAAAGTAGCAGTGTAATAATGTTCCAATCATATAATATTTTTTTAATACGATTGATAAAAATTTTTTCTGTTTCCCTCGCTCATTTTTTTTTAAAGAGAAGCATTATTGGCTCATTAACCATCATAAATTATATAACTTATGATATTTAAAAAATGTTATTTGGTGGTGCCCAAAATTAAAATGTCAAACAAATTGGTAAGAGAGAAAGTTAATAAATCATGGAAATGAATAGAAATTGGTACAAGATTGTAACTTTTTGGAAAGAAAATAGAGGGGTGATGACAGTTGGAGAAAAGAACAGATAAAGATGTTTTTGAAGAATGTTATTGGAAAGAATAAAAGAAGGAGTATCCAAATTTTGATAATTTTTTAAATTCGCTCATAAAAGAAATTATTAATTATTTTCCATAAATTTTAGTTTTAAAGAGAATTTTTTTTGTAATTATAAAAATTGTAAAAAAAAAAAGCGAAAGTACGTTATCAATATTTTTTTATTATACCTTTTTTTTTATTAGAATGACGGGTATTCATGAATGTATATATTGGGAGAATATCACTCGAGTTAGTATCTTCAGGGGCAGAGTTGACACGGAGGGAAATCGTATACATCCAGGATCGAGACCCGATCCCAGACCCCAGAGAAATAGACAAACTATAGAATTGTTCAATGGAATGGGTCATGGATCCGAGTTACCCCAGCCCAGTCATTCGGGTTCAAGTACCGTACGGAATATTCGGTTATGTTTCATCTGCGGAGCAAGGAGTCATTTACAGGCTCGATGCCCCCGCGGGCCTCGCCATGGTTATACGGGATAGAATTATAGAAGAAATTTGGTATGGTCAAGAAACGATAGGGGTAATGGTGGGCAAATTCGAGGGACCTATTCCGTCCGGACTGCGTTACCGGCAGTAACGGGTGCTGGGGGTTTACAAACAATGAGTGGAACGACGAAAATTGAGCAACCCGTAGCCTTGGAAGTGTAGCGACCAGTGGCGGTGATAGGACCGTCTCAGGAACAGGCCCCCCTTTCGAATGATCTAGGAGAATTACTTGGAGAATGGCCGATCATAGATCTATCGGCCGATGAATTGGAACAATTATTCCAAGAGCAGTGAGAGGAAATTTATCAAAAACAAATTATACTTTTTTTTTAAACCGAGATTAATGATAATATTGTATGCGGTATAATATTTTTCGAGTAAATTAATTGATTTTTTTTATGGGGGACATGTGGTAGGCACGCTTATTTTAATGTATATGTATTGTTTTTCTTTATTATTACTCATATTCTTTTAATCGATATTATTTGTTTTTTTTATCAATATTATAATTTTGTCAATATTATTTCTTTTAATCACTATTATTTGTTTTTTATCAATATTTTTTTTTATTATTTATGTGGGTTATAAAAACCCTGAAAAAGAAGAATTTATAACATTATATTTTTATTCTGTTTATTATTGGGAAATAAAAGTAAATTATATAGAAATAGGAAATTGATACATTAATATATTAATATCTGAGATAAAATTATAAGGAAATCGAAATATATAGAAATAAGAAATATATTTAGAAATAAGAAACGTAGTATTTCTACCCTTCCTGTAAGGTGATAGCGTTAGAAAGGAACCTGTTAATGATTGGTTTAATCCTGACCGATGTGATGTATGTGAACATTTTTAGTGTGACTGGAATCAGTGCAATACCTCTGTAATCCTTAAGGCAGTTTGGGGACTTATTTTTAGGGAAGTTTAATATAATTCTTACCCGTATTCCAAATCTCCCTAAAGAGGGGAAGTAGTAAGCTGGCACTTAACTCTACCTCTATCTTCCAGAGTTCTGCAAAGATCCCATCAGCTCCAGCAGCTTTATGCATTTTTAGACGTTTGATGGCACCGACTATATCGGGCTTGTTCAGATTCTGACTGGGTGATTGGAAGGGGTAGTCACATTTAGGTCTAGGCCATCTCGTTCTGTAGAGGTTCATGTAGTGGTCTATCCATAAGTCTAATTGTTCCTTAGGGTCAGTTATAATCTTGTTGTTATTTAATTGTAGTCTTGGTAAAGGATTGGTTTAAAGGTGGTGAGTAGTTTAAGAGATTGGAAAGCCTTATAAATATTATTATTATCAAAATTGAATTGGATAGAATTCGATAAGTTAGCAATAAACAGTCTGTCAGCCCTTATGCGGTTAGTAATGTACCTCCTATGATGTCTTGCGAATTGGTGGTGGGATATATTTGTTGTAAGATTCTTAATTATTTGTATTGTTGAAGGGGTGAGCCACTCTCTGCGCTTGGTGCGTGGTCTTAAGCATGATGTTATACTACCTAATAAATTCAGCTTAATGTCCTTCCAGGTCAGATTTGGGTTTATCATGCCATTTACTGTATTTCTCCATGATGTTAATTTAGAGACGAACTCTTCTTTCACAACTAAGTCATTTAGTTGTGCCAAGTCTTTTCTAGCTATGTATTTTACAGTGGTGAGACTGTTCTGTCTAGTGTGGTTTGGGAAGATACTGTTGTTAATTTTGAGTTTACAACCCAGTGGATAATGGTCCGTAAAAAGTGTAAGGTTTAGTTTACTGATTACTCTGATGTCTCTCACCCACTTAAAGATCTTAGTGGAAATTACAAAGAGATCTATCTGTGAGGTAGTGCCAAAGGAAGGACTCTTGTAAGTCATGATGTGATGAGTTGGATGATTGAAGAAAGTATTTCCAATTTTCATGTTGAAAAGCTCACAGATTTCTATTAACCTATTACCGTTGGGGTTCGTACTTTGTATTAATGTGGCGTTTCCAAGGCAGGAAGAGTTCTTAGATTTACCTACCGAAGCATTGAAATCGCCTGCTAGAATGATGCCATCCCGATGCGGTAGTTCCTTTAAGACATTCTCCAATTCCATATAGAAAACACTATCATTGTGAAGCGCATATATATTAAACAAATGAACTTTTTTGTATCCTAAGTTTAAGGTAAGGCAGCATATTCGGCTGGAGATTGGGTTGAAGCATACAAATCTTATTAATTTATTATGTATCATAATCGCCACCCCAGCCCATACGAGTTCAGCATTTGAGCTGCAATATAAGGTGTAATCTAAGAGGTTCCTTACCTCAGTTACTTTAAGGTGGGTCTCCTGTAAAAAGAGGATATCGTAATGTTGGTCTTTCATGACTTGCCTAAGTATAGTTAGTTTATCATTCAGGGATCTTATATTTAAAGAGATCATTTTAATATTGTGGTCCTTCATTGAAAAATTTTATTAAAATTTAATTATGATTACCATGTTGATTCTATATATTACAGAGAGTCCGCCTTGTAATAATAGCAAATACACAAAGATAGATAGATTAAGAATTAAGTAAGAATTGTTTTAAAAAAATTCAATATATATATATATGGTATCAAAATGCGTATAGTATATGATAATAGATTAAATGAGTATTTGAGTAAGTTTCATATAATAATTTAGCAGAAAGAGATGAAAGGTTTTCGTTCATATAATAAAAATAAACCTGAAATTTATGAAATTATCATATGTTTCTTACGTTATAGATCCAAACACAAAATGGCCGCTACTCAATTCAATTTTTGCCACTTCAAATACATTAATCGGCAGTCTATAGTATTAATGTCATTGAAGTTGAACGATAGGCTATGAATTCTATATAGTGAGACCAATGATGATACACAAATAATTCTGAAATCCACGTAAGAAGAAAAGTTATTATAAATAAAATTTAATGCCGAGATAAAGGCATGGTATAAATTAACTTATAACTTAAATGTAAATCAATCATAATGGACATATTTGAATACATAAAAAGTCTTAAAAAAATATTTACTTAATAATGAATTAACAGTTAAATTTCTTAGTGAAATGCCTATTGATATTTTTCATATTTTGATTTCTTGAATTATGCCCAATTGTGGAAATTAATTGAATTACCTAAAGATGAATTCTTAGATACAATTAAAAAATATTTACTTAATAATGAATTAACAGTTGAATTTCTTAGTGAAATGCCTATTGATATTTTTCATATTTTTGATGACCAATTGTGGAAATTAACTGAATTACCTAAAGATGAATTCTTAGATATAATTAAAAATATTACAAAGTTAAACCATTAAAAATCCTAAACAAGAAGATAAAACTTTAATTTAAGTCTATATTAAAATGTAATTGAAAAATATGAATTAAAAGATTTAAAAGATAAAAATCATATGATTGATTTAAAAAATTATAAAATTAATATAGCTCTTATAAATAATACTTAATATGATAAAAAAGTTTTTGAAATTTAAAGCTTTGAAGACAAGAGGTTATGTAACATCTTCATTTTAGATAAATATTTAAATGATATGATGAGGAGATCATTTTCTAAAAATTATCTTATGAAGAATTATTATTTAAAAAAGAACACTTTTTTGAATTAAAACTAGGGTGTGAAATTTAAATTTTTTTTTAAAGAGAGGGAAATGTGAATAATATTTTATTTGCATATTTTAACCTCGTGGATTGAAAATATTAATATCTAAATAAAAATAAATTAAATACTAAAACGCAAAAAATTGATTAAACACTAAAACGCGAAAAAATAAATTGGACACTAAAACGCGAAAAAAAGCTAAAAATATTATATAACAATCTTATTGATTTATCATTCTTCACTTATTTTTATATCCAACTTGATGAATTATTATTTCTCATTATTCGCAACTTAATGATGATAATAACAATTTTGAAAAATGATAATAATAACAAATGAGTACTACCAAGCAAGCTATATGACAAAATCATGATTTATGGAGACAACTTTCGATAAGGATATCAAGCTTACGATTTAAACAAACCAACGATTTGGACAAGCCAACGATTAAGATGTGACTGATGCAACATTGACAACCAAAACGATAAACCATTTGGACAACAAACTCTCTATGACTGCTTAGATAAACTTATGAGAAGGCTTTTTTAGAAGAGGGAGAATGTTATATTATAGAAATTAATATATTATATATTTTGGTTAATAAATAGTACATGTTTATAATGTAACGCACATTCATTTAATTCTGTTTATTCAAATCGCGCATTCATTTAATTAATAATTTATTCAAATTATATTTTTATTTTTGTTATATTTTTATAACAACCTTTTTTAATATTATATTCTAATTTTAGTTTGTAAAAAATATATAAATAGTAGATTGAAAAAGTAAATAAATGAACATTTTAATATTTCTTTATTTTAGTGTTCCGAGGACGTCTTCTTTCTTTCTTCACAACCACTGATAGATTCTATGCTGAAAGGCATCGAGAAAGGGTCAAAACTTTATTTTTATTTTCTATTATACAATTATATAAAATGAATGATTATTGCTTGATTAGCGATAAACGAAATGATGAAAGGTTTATTTTTAATTTGTATATATATCAATGGTAGTAAATTTGTAGCAATAATTTTAAAATATATTAAATATATAAAAATATATATTCATATTTAATATAAAAATTATCAAAGACTCCACCCCCCCCCCCCCCCCACCTAATTTTTTAGCAGCCCACCACTGCTTAGGGTATATTAAATCTTGATATTGAAATTAAATATATCGCTCATTCAGAGGATATAAATGTATCTGATGGCTATATTTGATAGATCTGGTGGCCATTTTCCTATTTCAACCTTATATATTCAGAACCCAAAGAATATTATTTTTTAAAACAAAATATTAAAATTACCAATTTAAAATATAATTGTTTTATGTTTTATAGTAGTTTGTACTCCCACCCGTTTTTATAAAATGAGTTTTTATTATATTTACCAGAGACCTGCAGAGGTACCATTTGTACGGCCCGGCCCAGATTAAAAAGTTTTCGGCATTTTTTACGGCCCGGCCCGGGCTTAAAAATTTAGGCCCGGCCCGACCCGAATATTTAAAAAAAAATTTTTTTTAGGCCCGGCTCGGAATTTTTAAAAATTATATTCAACCTGGTATATACAAAAAATTTATTATTTCGTATTTTATCATATTTTTCGGCGAGTATTATCATTTAATAAGCAAGTATATTAGCTAATGTTGTTAAACGGCTCGTTTTGAGCCGATTTTTAAAAACGGCTAACTCAATATTTTCGCCAGAAAAATATTGACTAAGCCTCGAAATTTCGATACTATATGTCTAGACCTTTGCTCCTTCTATGAGCAAAATTTTCAGGCTTGCATAATATTTTTCTGGATAAAACACTGAGTTAGCCGTATTTAAAAATTGGCTCAAAACGTTTATTTATTTTTATTCTAAACAGATATTTAGTATAAATTTTTTTAAAAATTCCCGGCCAGGGTATTTTTTAAAAAAAATTTTCAGGCCCGGCCCGGGTTTTTTAAAAAAAAAATTTTCAGGCCTGGCCCAGCCCGGGTATATTTTAAAAATTTAAAATATGGCCCGGCCCTGGTACCCGGGCCTGGGGCTTAGGGCCGGGCCTGCAGCTTTCTGATATTTACTACACAATTATAATGTTGAAAGTATTTAAGCTATTAAAAGTGAATAATTTAAAATTTTTTTTTAATAATCCTCCAAAAAATGCCAAGGAATCATTGCATAATTTAAAAAATATTTTGTATTTTTTACATCTTTACTTCATTACGGAGAAAAGTATAGAAAGTGTTTTAAATATTGAAATTAATTTAACATATTTTGTTATTTCACTATTTTACATCTATGTAATAGATATTCGAGTATTTTCAATTAAAGTAACAATTGTAACCTTGTAAAACATTTTATATTTTATTTTATTTAATTTAATATTGAAATGAACGTATTTGAAAAAAATATATATATAGTTATACAATATGTGAATTTAGATGCATCTATTTTTAGTTTAATAAATAAATCCATAGTTACAAATCAGTTTCCCTGCCTACCTTAACATTGTGGCAGCCAAATGTAGTAATGCTAAAAGATAAAATATTAACTTGATTTTAAAAATAATTCTATTCAATTTTAAAAACATTTAGTGGCATAGATGTAAAAATAAGATTTAATAACCTTAATTTATTTAAACCTATAATATTTAATAATGGAAACATTAAATTGTTTAGAAGAAAAAATGCCGAAGGGTTGAAATTAAAATGATATAAAGAAAATGCTGTGCTATGAGGAAGAATTATTGTGAAAGTGATTGAAATATCCTGTAACATTATTTATCCATTCTAAATATTTAAAAATTGTATATATGATACATATTTATATTCTAAAAGCTAGACTAGAATTTAAAGAAGAGAAGTTATAAGATAAAAAAAAATTTCATTTTTTCTCAATAAAATAATAAATACTTTTTTGGGATTGGTAAGTGTGAAATAGGAACTAAATGAGGACAATGTTTTAGAGAATAATTATAACATATCTATTAATATATAGATAAAACCTCATTTCTGACGGATTTAAATATAAATGATTTTATAATTATATGCATTTTCTTCTACTTCATTCTTAATATGTATTTATAAATGTTATTAAGTCTTATATTTTGTTTCATCAAAAATATTTTTAGTTTTTTTCATTCCTTATTTAAAAAAATTATATTTAGTGTATATTTTTCTTTAGAATATTGAGTTTTCATTTTAATTCAAAACTGTTTTTTCTAATTTTAAACTATTAAAAATATTTTATTTTATATTCAAGACAATTGTTATAAGTTATTATGTTTATAAAATTATTTTATATTCAAAACAATTGTTATAAGTTTTTATCTTTTATTTTACTTTAAGAGGTCATTCTAAATTGAAGTCTTTTTATTTTACCTTTAAAAACAATCTGAATCAAAAAATATTTTATTCTAATTAAATTATTTTTATTTTCTATATAAAAAACGTTTTTTTTACTATTTATTTTTATTTTACTAACAAAATCAGTGTCCAAGAATATTCTTCATTGTGTATTTTCATAAATTTAATGGTTAAAATATAGTGCTTCATCACCAAAAATATTATTTTGTAACTAACCTCATCTTTTTGTATCTCAACTACTACTTTTTTCCCATTTTTATTAATTTATTTATTTTATTTTTTTAATATATATTTTTTGATATTTAATAATAAATACATATCGAGAACATTATGTCACGATGACATGACGTAACGAGGACATCGGATAATTATAATATAGATAAAGAGATTTAATCTTCAATTTCAATAAAAAATATTAAAATATCGACAAACAAAATTATACTTTATTATGCTATATAAATCTTATAAAATACTACACAAAATAATTTGAGAGAACAGCTGATTTCAATTTTTAACCATTCAAATTTCAACCTTTATATACACGGTATTCATTTTTATGCAACTTTTTATTGATAAACATTTGCGTTTTATCAAATATTGTTTATATTCGTTGCCGGAAAATTGTGCCTATTTGGAAACTAGTCGGTTTAATTACATTATTTATATTTTTATTATATATAATAATAAGGATGACCATATTGTTCTTTTCAATAGCGAGTATTCGAATGTTGGACAAATTAGATTCTATTAATGACATGAAGGATGAAATTATTCAGTGGATTATGTCATTAAGGATCATGTCGGATTCTAAAGGTATTATATATAAACTAATTTATTTTATATTTCTTATAATCATAAATTTTTAAGCCAATAATTATTTTATTTATTGATATATCTATAATTCATTTAAATATCAATTAGGAATTAATAATAAATATTGTGGCTTTACAGGCTCAAACTACCTCAGGACTTCAGATGTAAGATTTGAATTTATTTATAATACAATAAAGTTAGCCAATATACAAAAAAAAATTATCCATCTATATTTACCATCCACCAAGTAGTTAATATCAATATTTCTTAAATAAATTGCTAATTCATTTTATTTGATTTAAAAATTATCCAATATTTAAAATATTAAATTTTAAATTTTTTTAATAATTATGCATGAAATATCTTTTTATAAAGTAATTATATTTTATATCAATATACATAATATAAACTATATTAACAAATGATAATTCCTGTAATTCTAATCTTAATTATGGTTGCAATCTTTTTAAATTTATCTGATGGATACCCCTTTCAAAATTATTTTATTAAGTTTATCTTTTCAACATTTTAAAAAACAAATATAATAAATTATTAGAAAGATATAATATTTTTTTTTCTCTTTTTATCCTTTTTTTATTTATAATTATTACATATATATTACTATATATTTCTTTATTCCATAATTTATATATCATAATACACATTCATACATGAATTGAATAGTAACAAGCATAAAATATTGTTATAACATGATCCTTAAATATGTCTAACCCTTTGTACCTGACTTTTTCACCTCGATGAAAATTTTTTTCAGGAGATATTTATCATAAACACAAATAACACATTTTCATCAAAAAAAATTATTTAGAATATATTTTTATCAAAAGATATTCATGATTCCAATTGATCAATAGTTCATTTAAAAAATACTGGAAGGTCTTCTGGTCTTCTTAGTATTATCCTTTCCTGCTAGCATAAGCCCTTTTGCTATGTGTAAATTAAATATCAACAATGTCATAAATGCTTTCATATGGCATCTATAAAGGAGCCAGGCATTTATTACTGAACAATCCAATAAATGAAAAACCATTCTTATATAATATTGTTTCCATTTAATATCTGTCCAATATAACTTTATAATATGAAGATCTACTCCACCCTTGAAGATATTATTATCGAGAGGCAAAGGACAATATCTCCACTAATACCCAAACATGATTTTATGACATTAGTACACTTTCCCTGGTATATTTCAGAATCATATATAAACCTGGAAAAGCCACATATCTCAAGCACTTTTAACCTTATGGGACTTTGATTTAATGTATTGTCTTAATTTAGAGTGTCCCTTGAAGGGAATTATAAATTCGTTTAAAGCTAACTTCTCTTCAAGTTGAATATTTTAGAATTTTTTTAGTTTGCATATGAAGGGTTGAATTTTGAATAATTTGTTGTATCCTTCCCTATTTACCATATCTTTGTTATTATTATGGAAAAATTTTCAGATCAAAAGGAAACGATTTCGGTATATAGTTTCTTTATGGAATAGATGTTTCAACCGACCAATACTATCCTATAAAAGGCATCTTAACTAAGCTAATATCTAAATGTATCCCAATATATTTTTCAATTTCATTGGTATCTGTATTTATAGATTTACCATATTTATTTCCGATATAAAATTGCTAATTATCTGGCAGTCCAAAAATATACGAAAATAGGTTAGAGGAATTGAATCCTTCAACATAGGGATAAACTCTATTCATGTTTCCGATGCTTTTTTAGACCAAAGAGGGTTGTCTTTTATTTTAGTTAGTATCATCGATTATATGCTCCAATTCAAGACCCAGTTTATTTGTAATATAAGATGATGTCGGGTAATTCATCTGTCAGCAAAGGATAATAATAATTGTCTTCTACGTCTGAACTCTCTATATCAGTATCAGATATATCGCTTTTGGATACTAAATGCATATTGTTATAACAGCTCATATTACATGATTATATAAAATATCTATTTATAACCCATCCCTATATTCAAGAAAAATCACTAATATACATTAGATAATCAGTATAGATAACTATTGCAAAAATCTAACCTAATTAGCCCCCTCCCCTCCTTTTCCCATAACCCTAATCTAAATATCTTAAATAATTTAGCAAAATTTCCATTTATTGATAAAAATATTTTATTGCATTAATAATGGCTATTGATGACATCATGTTTATCATTCTTTGACTGCCATTCCATCAACTGTGTATCATGTTAAATATTCACGAATGTCCTTTCCAGAAAACTCATATAAAATACATCATTCTGTATAAATTCTCAGAATCTGATTTATTAAATATAAAATTTGTTTATGGTAGTAGTAAATTAGTGTCTTTCAAAATATTATTATAGTATTAGGACATGTATTGCATTTAAATGAGGTATAATTCTATTCTTGAATTTTTTAAAATTCAATATATTAAAATTAGATATATTAGCGATAAACTATTTACCTATTTATTAGGGGTGTACCGATACCACTTTTTGGAGGCCTATCTGATCAGATATTCCAGATATTAAATTGATATCGGCCGATAACCGATCCGATATCATATCTAATTTTGTATTCGATAACATTGGTTTTAATTTTTAATATACTTTTTATTAGTATAACATCTATAGTTTTACTATATCATAACATATATCATTTAAATATATTATAATGATCAGTTATAGTTTATATTAAATTCAATTGCTATTATTTATATAATAAGTAATAACATTAATCTATTTACATAATTAGTAATAAACAAATATATTATGAAATTTGAAATTAATATATCTAAGATTTCTTTTTAGAAATACCAAAATTTCCAATTTATCAGAGATCGGTCTGCGATGATGGGGACTGTTAATATCACTAGCATCACTAAAAACAGATTATGAAGATATTAATGAACACTTTTTTAAACAGAATGCGAAAAAAATAACTATATTACAGAATGTTTATTAACTAATTATTACTATTAAAAAAATTAAACATAAAAATATAAAAATAAATAGTTTTTTAGATATAACTTTTTTTAAATTTTGTTAAAAGCGCCATTTTATATCGGATCGGAAAATTTTATATCGGATCGGATCGTGCCGATATTTTAAAATGGGCAAAATATCGGCCCGATCCGATATAAAATATTGGTACATCCCTACTATTTATTTAACCTTGATCTTGAGAAAAATTAAATCTTTATTTAATATAATGTATTAAAAAACAGTTCTTTTAACTATTGAATCTTTAGAGGAAAAAAAATTATCTGACTTTATTTTTTTTAAAAAGTCTCCAAATATATGGAGTCCAATTTCAAAGTCGGATTCATAAATTTTATAATTGAGGTCAAGTACACGGGCTCCACAATAAGTGGGGATGGTCCGGACATTTCAGGGAGAGGGGCAAGGAGCCCAGTTTTGCAGAAATTTTAGTAATCTTTCACTAATCAATCTAACAAAAAAACGAAAATTCACTCGATAAAGGACGACATTATTCACACTTCGGGACAAGCAGAAATTTTTAAAGGGTCTGAAGCATTTATTTAAGTTAATGTTTAATTTCAAGGTATAGTTTAACACCTATTTTGTTTTAATCTATTTATTTAAATTACGTTACAATATAATTTAGATAATCCATAATTCACTTATTATGCCACTATATCATATATTTTAAAACCGAGACGAGACGGTGGCTGCCATGCCGCTGTGTTATAGAGGCTTTTCATCTAATTTAATTATATGAACGAATTTCTCACCACCTCAGATGCCATTTTCCCTCTAATTTAAAGGGAGGCACAAAACAGTACCACAGTAAAAGTGTTATGTTTGCGCGAGACAGTTTAGTTATGGTATCATTTATATTGAGTAAGTCTAGTTTTATTAAACTGTTCGACTTCGCCTATTTTAAATTAAGATTTTCGCCAAAATAATATTATTCAGGGCTCGAGATTTCGTTAATAGATGTCCAAACCGTTTTGTCATCTATGAGCAAAATCTCGAGACTTTCATAGTCTTTTTTTGGTTAAAACATTGGGTAAGTCGTTTTTAAAAATCTAGCCTCTTAACAAAACTAAGTAAGTCATATATTAATCGATAAATAAATATAACTTTAAAAAAATAGCGGAATAATCCAATAAAAAAAATCTATTTGAATAATACTAACGTTTCTCTTATTTGTAAAAAAAAGCTAACGGTATGATCTAAACAAGAAAAACCGAAATACTCCTCACCGTTCTTGGAGCCTGCGTAATCGACCCTGACTTTAACAATAAATATATTTTTTTATAACAAAAATAAGAAAATTTTTTACCCTTGGAAATTTAATTATATACATCCTTAAGGGAATGGGGAATGATCTATAACGTTCGACAATATTCTATAACAAATTAGAATAATTAAATGATCATATTTGGTTGAAATAGAAATATGTTAATGCACAAAATTTTTTAACGTAGACTCTTCTTAACCATAGCATCTTTTCTAAGTTATTTTATGGAAAAATTTCATTTTAAAAAGTGTCCTGAATTATTTTTTACCTACGCTAGGTGTTGCCATGCTTGTTTAGCCACAACTTAGGTCTATAACTTATGTGCCACATTTGGAATTTGAAAAATATATATTTTTTATACATTTTACGGCTAACAAATATTTTACAAAAAACAACATCCGACATTAAATATCACTACATTCTTTATAAAGCTTTTAAATGCTGCCTTGGATGACTCCTAGGCACAAATATTTGCATGGGAAATATTTTTAGCTAATTAAAAAAATTCCATTTTTCATAATTAAATGATTCAAATGGAGGGAGACTGTCTCCCCAGAAAAGACGGAAGATGGTCATTCTATTTCCAAAATTAACTCAAAAACTAAGGTGTATAATTCGCATAAATATTATGATCCTTAAATAGATGATGGCCAGAATTAAAAAAATTAAGTATATAAGTAGTGTTGTTAAAGTTATTTTAGTTATAGAAACAGTTATAGGGTCATTCCATGTCAAATCAATCACTTTTCGGCCGACCCCTTTCGATTTCGATAAAAATTCGTAGGCTGGTTATATATGTTCCCATTAGATTATAAACAAAATTTTAGCGCATTAGAAACTATATTAGCGGAGATATTCGCAGTTAAAGGTCCAAAAAACGTCTTTTTTTGCTTTTTACTGATGTTAAATAATTAGTTTTTAATTTAAAACTAAATATGATCAAATATTGAATCTAATATCAATAGCCAAGTTAATAATTGATGATTATGGCGAAAACATCAAAATTAATTTTTGATAAAATATGGGTCATCTTATGGTCAGTTGAAAACTTGAAATTAATATTTCGAAATGTATATGATCTCCGATTTTTAATTTTTTTAAGAATTATTATCCGTTTACTATTTTTTTAATAATTTATTCGACAATCAGTATGGCTGGGTATTTATTTAAAAAAATATTGGGTTTATTATACTTTAGAAGAAATAGATGGCGCTATATATAATAGTTTTAATATGTTAAAATTTATTTTTTTATTGATTAAAAATATTTTAATGTATATATATCATACTAAATCGATTACAATGTGCATTATATATATTATTTGTAATTCAGATCATAAATTTTTAAAATCTTCACAAATTTTGCCTAATTAAGATAGTTTATAAATTAATTAAATCTTACTTCATCTAAAGGAATACAAAGCCTGGCTAGCTTGTGAGATTCTTCAGGAGATAATATATATGTTCGACTGGTGGGAGTAGAAGGATTGACCAGCGAGAGAATATGAGATTTAGGCAACACTAAAATATTATCTTTCAAAGGAAATTTAAATGAGGCTGAAGGTCCACAAGGGTGTAAAAATCGGATTTTTACTTCTTCATTTGGTTAACTTTTATCGATTATATATCCTAACCACCATTTATCATCATATACACATGTTATATATTCATTAATATTTTAAAATATAATTTTCTCATTTAAAAACGGAACTTGTTTTATATTATATTTTTTGGAATTAGAGTATATTTTGGTTTTTAGTTTATTTTGATCAATGGGAATAATCCCGTGAATTTTTTGGGTACCATGTATGGGCAGTGCAGAATTAAATCTTTTACGAAGGGCTAATTCCTCTTCGATATATTCTTGATTGGATACATATTCAAATTGAATATTAATATTTTCTTTAGCATAATTATATAATTCTAATGGTTAGGATTTGATTTTTATTTGGCCTTTGAAGACTAGCTCTGGCAACTAATCTTTTGACAGTTCCTCCGATACCGTCACATGCATTTTTGCCGTGAGCAGTGACAAAGAAATGCTATTCGGCAGGAATATTAAAATCGTATTTATGAAGGCATATGTTCAGAAAATTTTTGCGATTCTTGTATTGAGACGCGGCTTCATCCGAAAAATATATTATTTTTTATGGTTTAGAATGAAATTTGGCTGTTAAGAATTTAATGAATTTTTTTTGATAAAGGTGGACTGCACTAGTAAGTATTATGGCTTAATGATTCGGACAAAATAACAAAATTTATATTTTTTAATTCTTCTCCAGATTTATAATATGCTACAAATGGATGTATAGTGGCCTGCACATTGTTCCAATGAAATCCCTGAACTTCATCTTGTAAAATGAAGGAATAATTTTCAGAATAATCTAGAATTGTTAAAAATTCCTCATCTTTTAAATTTTCTTTGGAATTCTTCAAAAATAAACTTTGTGTTTAGCTATAAACGAGTGACGCAGTAAAATTTGAACTTTTTATAATAGATATTCGATGAAACCATCAATGGACTTTATAATAGTTTCAAGATTTGCTCTATCCACCGTGATCCATTGTTTAAACGTGACATATTCTATACGATTTCTCTGAAACAATTCATATAATTGGCCCATAAGAGATTCTATACCAGGGCATTGATCACAATTTGTTAAATAACATTTTGGCTGAGATGGATTATAAATAATTTGCGCCAAAAGATTGTTATAAGAATTTATACAGTAATCTTCTCCTGCTGTAATTTCAGCTATTACATTTGTCATTAATTTCACATTCTGATGAATGGCGCAGACACAAACAGTGTGTGTGCCATCCAACTAAAATTCAGTTTTTTGGTCTAAGTTCGGCAAATTTAGGGAATCCAATTGATATACTTGGGTATTCTTCCTTAAACATCTTGAATATTTCTTTAAGATTATTTAATATAAATCTTTGCTAATTCTTTCTCGCCTTTAACAGATACACAATCTTTTATTCCAGGCATGAGTCGGCTTATTTCATCAGAAATATAATTTTGTTATTTTTATTGCTTAAAAAATTTTTCAAAATCTTTGAAATTTTCTTTATCTCTGGTTATTTTAATAATGTAAGATAATGACAATTTCATAACATTCTTGGTCTTAATGGGTATGACTTAGTCTGGGGAGGGGGTGGATAGGGGGTTGGGGGTAGGCCTGGTAATTAATGCGATTTTCGATTTTTCCCTTAATAATTTTTCTGCACCCCTTTAATCCTGCTTTTTTGTTCGTGTGCTAGTCCGATTTTTTAATTATTTTAATTTACAATGAAATATTAAAAAAATTATTAAAATTTTTTATCCTGCGAATATCTCAGGGGAATAAGGTTTACAAAGTTATATAATCGAATTTTATGATATATTTACATTAAAATATTTTTAATCAATAAAAAAAATGAATTTTAACATATAAAACTATTATATATAGCGCCATCTATTTTTTTTAAAGTATAAAAATCGCAATATTTTTTTAAATAAATATCCAGCCATGCTAATTGTTAAAGAAATTATTAAAAAAATAGTAAACGGATAATATTTCTTAAAAAAATTAAAAATCGGAGATCATATACATTTAGAAATATTAATTTCAAGTTTTCAACTGACCATAAGATGACCCATATTTTAAAAAAAATTATAATTATCAATTATTAACTTAGCTATTGATATTAGATTCAATATTTGATCATAATTAGTTTTAAATTAAAAACTAATTATTTAACATCAGTAAAAAGAAAAAAAAGGCGTTTTTTGGACCTTTAACTCCGATTATCTCCGTTAATATAGTTGCTAATGCGCTAAAATTTTGTTTATAATCTAATGGAAACATATATAACCAGTCTACAACTTTTTATCAAAATTGAAAGGGGTCGGCCGAAAATCTTGATTTTTTTGCTCATTTGACATGGAATGACCCTATATTACTAAAAATGGTTTTAGTTAATTATTATATTCTTCGAAAAATAAGCAAATTTGAGTAACTTAAAAAAATTAGTTTAAAAAAATGACAGTTATATTTTATAAAATATACATTAAAAACTATTATACAATTAGTTGGAGTTTTATTTTTTCTAAGAAGTTGGTATTCATGCATGTATAACTATTTGCAACTAGTTATCTGTTCACATTTAATTTTAGGGTTTCCCATCCAAATATTGAAAAATCGCAATCAAAAAAGGCAAAAGTTTGATCAAAGAAGGAAAGTGTTAATCACGATGGTAGCAAAGGCTTAGAAAAAAGTTCTATAAAGGAGAAAGTCCGATCAAAAAAGGAGTGTTAATCAAGAAAGGAAAAGTACCAAGGGCTTAGGAAAAAGTTTGATCAAAAAAGGAAAAGACCAAACACTTTTAAAAAGTTCGATCAAAAAAAAAAGTCAATTAAAAAAGAAGTCCAGGAGAAAAGGAAAAGTAAAAATTAAAAAATTAAAAAATTAAAACTTATTCAAAATAGAAAATCGTTTATATCTTTTTTGTCATTTTTTAACCCTGAAATATGATTTTTTTTAAATTTAAAGTTAGAACTAAAATAAATAGAAAAATTAAAAAAAACCAAAAATTGAGAAAAATCATATTTTATCAGGGTTATAAAAATGACTTAATTTTTTTTAAAAATAACGATTTTCCTTTTTAAATTTTCCTTTTTTCGGACTTTTTACTTTTTTGATAAAGATTTCCTTTTTTGAATAAGAAATCCTGTAACATGGCATTTTTCATTAAGACTACTAGTAAGCAGATAGAGATCTTGTGAATATCTAACCTCCCCAGTATTATATAATTCTTTTCTAAACGACGGAAGAATCATTCTTAAAAATATATTTTGAAGCAATTTGAATGTAAAACAATTGGTGAAAATTTATTTTAACTTCTTCTATAATTTTTTTTTATAAATATATAAAAATTTTAATTGAATTATAATATAAATTAATTACATATACTCACCCAAAATGGCATCACCAGCGGCATTTAAATGAATAAATCGTCTGTCTAGATAATATAATGTTATTGAACTGTCCACTTTAGCGATGGCAATGCAAGCACATGTATATTTGTAGCATCCTTTTATTCTTATTTTAAAAATGACATGCCTTTTTTTAAAGGAAGAAACTCAGTGCAAGATCCAAAAAGGTGACTCCGACTATGTCAGAATAAAATGTAAAGATCCCGGCATTTTGTTTTCCGATGAAAACAGTTGTTCTCACATAACCATGACTTTGAGTGCCCTATTGTCGCTTGTGATATTATGCGATAATAAAAAAATTACCCGAGATACAAATGATAATAAAGAACAAGACGATTACGATGTCATAAACTATTTAAATAAAAACCTTAAACAATTATTACCTAGCCTTATCGCACCACCATCAAATGCCAGAATTAACGGCGCCGATTTATTAGACAAAGAAGCTATCCTTGTCGGTCTTTCCAATTTGCAGAACATAGATGGAAGGTTGATTTAAGAGATATATCATTTTTTAAAAATTAATTTATCTGCTAAGTTTTTCCAGGAAAAAAATTATCCTGAATTCTCACGCGAGAATTCGGAATCTCAATTTTAAATCATCTACTAGGGTTAGTGTTGTTAAACCGCTCGATTTTTATAAACGACTAACTTAATATTTTAGCCAAAAAAGGTTATGCAAGTCTCGAGATTTCGTTAATAGATGTCCAAACTATTAGTTGCCCACAGTAAGAATATCGTTGTTCCTCTAGAATAGTTGTCAAAGATAATTATTTGAAACCCAAAACTCACAAAATGCCGAATAATTTTATTGGTAAAATAAAAATGAAGTCTCGTAGTAATAATATTGTCAAAAATCGGCCCTTTTATATCATACAAATAAAATAAATAATCCAAAATAAAATAATATAGGACTCATCCTGAGTCTTACAAATTATATAATTCAAAATCAAATACTAGCGCCGTTGTTACACATCCATGTTATTTCGCTTAAAAAATAATAATGATAAGAAGATATACAACAAAATAAAGAAAAATGACCTCAATTATAACTAGACCTGTGCGCCGGCGAAACAATCGTCTGCCGGCGCAATTTTCAAAAATCTAATCGACGGCCGGCGGGCGCCAATTTTTAGCCACCGTCAACAAAATCACATAAATTTTTTTTAAAAAAAAACTTATATACATTACTCTACAGATATCTCGGCATATTTTTTAATATTTATTTAATAGAACACTCATTATAAATCCAAAATCAATTTCGTAATTTTATAATTATCATGTATAAAAATTATTTTATTTAAATTTTCGGGACATAATGATGATCTCCTTGAATTTAACGTCAATCTAGCGGTAGTGAAAACTCCACTAGGTGTGCTAGTCGCCGGAATACAAAAAATTTTTTGGCGAGCCTGGAAAGATTGGGAAGTTCGCTCTTCTTTTCTCTCCAAAAATTTAGAACGTCCATATCTTGTGAATGTCGTTTTCCAAGAAGAATGTGGTATTCTTGATCTAAGTCACCTAACGTGGAATCATAATTTATATTTGTTGAATGTTTATTTGCCAATCTTGTCAATTTACTTGAATTTAATAATTTCTCTTGATCCTCAATAGCTATATTTACTACTTGAATATCATCATTCTCTATAAGTTTAAGATGTTTTATTATAAATTCTGAAGCTGAGCAATTTTGCTCTATTATATACTTTGACATAATTGTCAATTTTTGAAATCTTGGATCTAAAAGAGGAACCAATACCTAGATAATTTTAAATAAAAAATAAATGAATATACTTATATATTATTACTTGCAGATCACAAACCGGAAATTGTAATGCAAATTTTAGCATATTTTCCTTAAATAAAATGATTTCAGAACTATCACTATTATTTACTATCAAATGCGTTTCAATTTCACTTCTAAAAAGTAACGCAAAGTTTAAAGTAAGCCCTTTTTATACTGAAAGAAATTCGACATTTCTTTAAATTTTTAAAGAAATGCTAATATCTACCTGATCAGATTCATAGTTTGATAATTTGAAAAAGTGTTTCCCAATTCTTTTCAAAACATTATTAATTAAATTCTTATTTAATCCAAATACGCTTTCTAGCATAATTACTATACTATGTCAACTTGTTGGGATATTTAATTATAAGGTTTTCATATGCGTGGAATTATTATCATTAGAATTGCCAATTCGAAAGCGGGGAACCGGGTATAGATCAGTGCTGTTAAGATCTAACATCTCTGATGTTAAATCTATTGTACTTAGGCATTTTCTTTGATCTTCTTCGAATTATTTAACCTCTGCATTTTTATATCTTATATCTTAGAGCAGTAATAATTTCTCTAATTCTTTTGATGAGATTTTCAACAAAGGGTACCTTTTTAATACCATCTACTGTAACCAGATTGTATAAACTATGACCCAAACATAAGTGGTGTTCATATTCACCTAATCGAACACCTTTTCTAATATTAAGCCGGTAAGCCCAGCATCTGTGACCATTTGTATTTTTTCTTTTTTATATTAAATTCCTCTTCTATTTTATCAATCTCAGTTAGAATAGTTTCACTTGTGTGTTTTTGGGCTATATAATGAGTTGATAAAGTAAAGTAATCATTTCAAAATTATCATTTATTAAATGAAGTGTAAATGTAATATAGTTTCTTCTTCTGTATTAATCTGTCCACATATCAAATGTAATTGAGCAAAATTTTGGCCCTGAATTAATTTGATCTTGTACATGTGCTTTCATTGATATAAAAACATCATTAAGAGCAGTAAGGCATAGTGTTGTCCTGTCTGGCAAATCAGAATTAGAATTGATAACTTGATATTTCTAAAATAGTATTTTAAAATTTATAACAGAAAATCATTATATCTCAATTTATATCAGACAACAAATTAGGGAGAATTTATCAAGAAGAAATAAATTTTTAAAAATTTATTCTGGGTTGCAAAGCTAGACAAAAACAGCTGATTAGGGCAAATGCATATCTATGTGTAATCATATTGTTAGCATGGCTATGAATTCAACTATTGTAAACCTTCCTCAGTAGCCAATACTATTTAAATAGAATAAAAAACATAAAGGTAGATATATTATTATAGATAATATATCTTATAAATTTAATACCTTCAAAAAATCTTTCATTCCTATATTATTAATTGATTGAAAAGGTAATAAGTCAACACTACATAATAACACATAATTTCTTGCTAGAAGCCATTTTTTAGATGTTTTAGAATTAGCTTGTAATTTTGTTTTGAATATAAAATATTTTTTTAAATCTTGCGATTTTGATGAAGTATCTTCTTTAATATTATGTTCAGAAGTCACGTGTTTTAACAAATTTCCTGTGCTAATGTTTAATAAAAAGTTTTGAATTTTATAGCTAGATTATATTTTACAAAAAATATATTTTAATTTATTAAAGATTTTGGCTATATATGAGAAAATTTTAAAAAAATATACTGTGAAAATGGCTTATTTGAATCATCATCGTCTCCAATAGCCTTTTTAAAGCAACAATTGCAGTAAAATTTGTCAGAATTTATGGAAATTGTTTTATTATCTCTTTTTAAGTGTAAGTAACCAAAAAATTCCAAACTAATAATTTTTTATTATTTAATGTTATAATACTAAATTATTTATAGATTTATTAAATGTAGATGCATCCATTTTAAAAATATGTAAAATTATGGTAACATCTGGAATTTTAGATTTTTGATTGATAAAATCCTGAATGACATTAAAAAAATTACAACAGTGAGGTTGATCAATTATTAGAATAAAAAGGTATAAAATATGAAAGAAATTTCTACGCCGGCGTGATTTTCATAAACGGCGGCGTTTTCGGCGTAACCAAAAAAGTCGGCGGCCGGCCAACGGCCTGTCGGCGCACAGGTCTAATTATAACACAGACCTTTCTACCATCTATGAGCAAAATATTCAGACTTGCATAATATTTTTAGCTAGAATATTGGGTTATTCTTTTCTAAAAATCGAGCCTAACAACACTTAGGGTGATTAAAATTTTTTTTTGATTATACAGGAAATGTGTTCTAGTATGTTTATACTACCTAAGTGCCCTATGTATAAGTCAGAATTGTTAAAAGATACTTTTAAAATGAATCTAGATACAGATATTGTCTAAATCTGTTACAAATGCATAAGTATACCGTTAAATTTTTTACCGATATGTCTAAATATAGATACAATTATATTATAATTATGCAAATATATATAATTTAGGATTCTATTTTTAAAATTCAAATTTTGAAGTGAGCTAAAACATTTTATTGAACTATTTTATAATTTACATACAAATATAATTAAATTTTAATAATACATATAGCCACCCCCTTTTATCTGTAAGTTTTTAACCAAACTAAAAGCTTTTCCACCGGGACACTTAACGGCAGATTGGTTTTATATTTAATGAATAACAACTTTATTATCATTAAATATATTAAAATCCGGATATTTATTTTTAAAAAAAATCATTCGAAATTTGAGGAGGGTCAAAACACCATCTAAGGGGTACCTAAAAAATGTGATATTAGATTATTTGATTTCCTACAGAGATTTTCTAGAAATATTAATCCAAAAATTATGTATATATTTTTTGAATTATATAAACAAATAATATAAAATTTTGTCGTCATTTATTGCTTAAAGTAAAAATTATCTGGTTTGTTTTTATAATGAAATAAACTCGGACATTACAATGATAATTAATTTTTTTTAAAGTTAAAAATTTTATAATGTTCAACTAGCATGAAATCAACATGATTAATTCGAGCCAACACTTGTTTTCAATAAATTTCGTATATGTATATATAATAAAATGTCACGTGACGGGAAAATCCGTTCTAGATCGATTTAATAATAATTTCAAAAATTGATGTGTATAAAAAATATAAGTTTTCTATAGACGCAAAAATATAAGTAAAAGTAATGAAAAGGATTATATGTATAACTATAAGTAACAAAAAAGTATCTTTATATGATTCAAGTTCTATCATAATATGATTTGTATTGATGGTTCATGTAATGTTCTTGTATTAATATGTCTTGCCAGTGTTTGTTTTGAATCCACTCTCTCAATTACATTGACTGGGTTTTCTTAGGTCGGGATCCATGGTATACTTTGGTGACTTAAGTGAAGTGGGTGATGCCAATTATCTCCATTGTTTTTGTTAAGATTATTTCTAGCGTGGGGAACGGCAACCTCTTTCTCATCATAATATGCTGTAGGGGAGTCTTTATGTACCCGAGGTAAGATGTTAAGTATTATGTTTTAAATTGAAAAATTAATTAAATTTATATACCTTTTTGCTTTTTTAAAAATTTCATGGATAATTGCATGAATGTAATATGAGATAACTAAGGAGGATTGTTTATATATGGTGGGCTCAGGCTTTAAAAATAAATAACGATTTCAGGGCATTTCCCAAAAATAACTAAAAGGAAACCGATTAGTGAACTGGTCTTTATTTTGACCATGGCAATAATCCGGTCTGATATTTACTTCTGTTCGTTTTGTGACATTCAACTGTCCTCCTTTTTTATTAATTATTCTTACTTACATCTTTTAGAAATGCGATAACTAATTATCAATAAATATATGGATTTTTCATTTAACAAAAAGTTTTAGGCCCACTGTCCATGAAGGTGAAAGCGATTTGCGTTTTGTGTATTGCGCGTCGGCGATATGCCACCTTTTAGATGACTGGTCTCACATCGATGCATCGCAAATGATCTCCTTCATAATGTCTTGCAAGGTTTGAGTTTATTTTACTACTAGAACCTATCCGAAAATTATCGTATCAGTTCATTACCGCGAAATTTTTTCCGCGAAAGGCATAATCTCAAACGGATAATTGAGCCATTTTAATTACCGCCTAAATGCAATATCTTATTTTAAAAAATTACCTTTTCGCATAAATTATCATCATCATCAGTTTTTAAGATGTTTTTATCTTTGAGGACTAGTCTTTGCTTTTTCTTCTATCGACGAAAGGATATTTTCAAGTTAGTAGTAAATTTATTTCCACTACATTTGCCCAACTTGTTTGGATCTTTATTTTAGGTCTCATATTCATATTTTCCATTAACTCAACTATAGTTTAGTTCGGTGGCTCAGTAAAGATTTGCTAACTCTATTAGTCTAATGATTTATGAGAGAAGGTTTGATCTAGATTAATTTACTCTTAATTATATTTTAAAAGTTATATTTGTAAGTGTTAAACTTAAAATAATCAACAATCTTTATTTCGTAATATATTATTATTATAACATTAAATTTGCGAATCAGCTAAATAATCGCTAAATTGCTTTAGCCATAATATATTTACTGCGGTATAATGCCTTTTGCAGAAAGATTCAACGGTATTGACGTGTTATTTAAATCTGACCCCTAGTATTCAATTATGACCCTGATTTAATTTCAAATTGTATTTATAGAACCTTATAACACAAAATGCCGAATCAGGTTTTAATCGACTTCCTATATCCTTAATTCATTTTCTTTCTTAAAAAAAGAGTTACGAAGGAGGGTTCGGTCAAGTTCCCGGGGCCGAGTCGCATGGTAATATACTATTTTTTATTTTTTTTCTCGAAATATTAGATTTAGAGCAATGACATTAATTTCACCTATTCATTCATGCTTAGGATGTATGTACCATTATAATGAATGAACGGTAAATCTAGGAGATTAGTGTTTTTTTCTGGCGATGTACCCGAATTTTTGGTTCAGTTTCGCAGATCTACTAAATAATCCATTTTTATTTAAAACTGCGGCATAATTGATGCAGGATAACACCAGCAATTTTTAATGGAAAAAAGCATTTTTGAATAATATATTTAATTATGCCCTGTCTACAGAAAGTCTTGTATTTTTCTTTATAAAGTTTGCGCAATTAATTACTCCTATATTTCATGACTCACCATGAATTGTTTTTTTCTCGTTTTTTTACATCCCTATTTATTACTAAATAATTATTCTGCGAGGAATATCCAAATCATCAAATGGGTCGCCTCCTTAATCGTTTTACCTATTATTGTTAGATATATTATATGAGAGTTGTTAAAATAGTTACAAAAATGTGATCTATGAATCTAGATGCATTTCCATAAAAGTATCTGTATCGAGATTTATAGGCTATATTCCATTTAGAAAGTATATTTTAACAACTCTGAATATTATATTAGGAGGATGTAAAAAAATAAAATGCCTATTTCGCCTCTCAACGCAAACGTAGAACATATGTTAATCCTTAAAATATATTAAGTTGACACACATTTCGCAATGGTGATCATTTCCTTTAAGGTTGACCTAGGTCTTGGGACTTATTTCATTGTTTCGCAACTTTTATTATAAACCTTATTACCTTGTTTCCTTTTTAAAACTGTTTTAATTTATTTTCAGTGTGTCTAGCATGTGTGGGAGAAATAATTTTCTTATAGGTTCACTGAAGGGTAGGTTATAATCATTTTTTAAAAAAGTAAAAGGAGGGAAGGAAGGGCAAATTATAGTATTTACTTCAAGTTATTTTCTCTAATGTAGGTAGATTGTTGCATCATATTTTTTTATGAATTAGAACCCATTTTAAAATTTATAAGGACCGGAAGCAGGACCCCGTTTTAAGATTTCTAAGGACCGGAGGCAAAAACAATTTAAAAAAACGGGAACCAGGACAAGAGCCACCTTTAAATTTATTCTAGCCGGAAATCCAAACCGGCAAAGAACCCTTTTAACATATATAGGGACCGACAACAGAAACCCATTTAAAAATTTTATTTTTATAAAACAGAAACCCATTTTAAATATTCTAGGGACCGGAAATAGAAACCCATTTTTAATTTTCTAAGACCGAAACCGATTCTAACAAAAGTGCAATTAATTTATATGATATATAAATTGTTATGGTTAAAAATGATATGTGATTTATTCTCATCCTAGTAGAATCGAGACCAGTACCCTTTATATTTCTGGCTCTAAAATCGGATTCGTGATTTCATATCTTTATTTTTTCTTTCCAATATTGGTGTTTATTTTAAATAAAGTTTTAAACAGCTCCATAGTCTATTCTTAATAAACGATTAACTAAATCAAGATCTTCGCCAAAATATTATTACCTAAGATTCGAAACTTCGCCAATAGAAATCCAAACCTTGCCATCTGTTGGCAGCATCTTTAAGTTTGGGTAATTTACTTTTGCTAAAATCTTGAGTTCGCCATTTTAATAAATCGGCTATTTGAGCCGTTCAACAACACTAATGGCTTTCTATCGAAGTTGGTAATGAACCCTTGATTTTTTTTCTTATTCAAAAAAATGTAGTTAAGGTATATTTGTAAAAAAGATATTTTTAAATATTCAAAATCAAGAAATTCTTGTTTGTCAATATTTAAAAATGAATTTCGGTTTTTGTGTGTTTTTCGATATTCTTTGTAAAATAAAAGAAATAATGTTAGAATTTATTTAGATTAATATAATAGCCAGGGACTTTGCTTAAGTTCGGATATCAAAACTCAATTTTATAATTAAGTATTTTATCATCTTGAAATGTTTACATATGTTTTATATATACACATGTCACAATTAGGTGGCGATTCATTCTCGATTGGGATAAGGACTCCCCGTGGATTCGTAATTTCTCTATTTTAAATCATTAGCTTAGTGCTATTTTTAAATTTAAAAAAAATCTGAGCTAACTGCAAATTTATTCTTGCAGTGTGCAACCCATATAGATTTTTCTAAAAAATAATATGCAAAAGTTCAGAAAATTTCCAAAAATTCACAAGACCCGCTAAAGATAGCTACCCGATCGGTAGGTGACAAAGCATCTTCCCGACCCGTTAAGTGGGTTGGTCCGAATAAGTCGGGTTTTTCGCACCTCTACTCTCCGCATACTGAAATATATTTCTAAAGTCAAATAAGATTTTTAAAAAAATTTAATTATTGCCCTCAGTAAATGGTATAAAAGAGAGATTCCGAAACCCTAGGAGTTCATATCCAAATAAGACATATCTTTTGCTGAGTATTATAATGTTCATTACCTACTCTTTTGCCAAAGTGCATTTTTCGATAAATGAATCCTTCAATACTTTATTTCTTTACTATCACCAATAAAAATATTAAAATATAATTTCTAATATATTTACATTAGTATAGTGTGATCTCTTATCTAAAATACAAAAAAAAAATTTTTTAAATACTTTTCTAAAAAATTATAAAAATTAGATATAATACTAATTAAAATATGATATTTTTCTAACTTGTATTCTTTGCATTTAGGAGGTTCTACATTTTGTGCTGTGGCCAGTTTGAAGCTTGCTGGTAAATTACATCTTATCACGGATAACCAAGAGATCAAGGAGAATCTCCTTCGATGGTGTATGTTTAGACAGCAACAATGTATTTATGCTATTTTTTTTACATGAAAAGAAGGTAGGAAAAAAGAAGAAAAAAAATTGATTTCCGATTTCAATAATTTGAAAGTTATTTTATTTCAATTTTAATTGGTTGAATTAACATTCACAGTATTATCTACTTTTCTAAATTTTAAAGAAAGAAAAAAAGTTTAAAAATAATATCTATTGTTATTAGAAGTGATTTGTTTAATATATTACATTAATATCTAAGGCCAATCACTGAATGCCAACAGCGACATCATATTATGCTCGGGGTTTAACGGAAGACCCAACAAGGACGCCGACAGTTGCTATAGTTTTTGGATCGGTTCCACCTTAAAAGTATTAATGTTTTGATTATTGATATTGAATGATTATTAAAAATATAAATTACATTTTTTTTCACTTTTTTTCCCTCGAATAACAATTTTTTTTTATTACAACATATTATCAGATTTTAGGTTGCCTTTCTCATATAAATGTCGAAGCTAACCAAACCTTTTTGCTCAACGTGTCTCAAGATCTCCGGAAGGGAGGTTTCAAGAAAGCTATCAACGTTTATTCTGGTTTATTTGTATATTGTTAGTCACATATAAGTGTCCCTTTTCAATCTAGTCAACCTGGTTAAGAGTCATTTTTGTTTTTTGGGGAAAAAGTCAGTGTTTAGCGCGTTATATGACTTAAAACAGCTATAAATAACGTAATTATAATATTATTTTACTTAAATTTTGAGAGATTATTTCGTTAATAATTAATAATCAAATTGTGTCCCGATGGATATAAGAGGATAATAATGTTTTTTCAAAAATCTAACAGAAGGAAAATTTTATAGTTCAACCTTATTCTAATTTCTCTTAGCCGTTATCGAAACCGTATTATTATATATCGATAATAATGATTATAAAGATCCTCTTCACACGTTCCTCAGTTTATCAGCCCTCACCATGTTTTCTCACCTGCAAGATAGTAAATATTTAAGTCCGTCTCTTGCTCAATTAACCGATATTCAGCCCGCGCTGATGTTACCTTTTTGAAACTTTTGCAAAGAATTTTTTTCTCATTCGAAATATTCTTCACAATTCGAATTCATTCTATAGTCAATGATCTTACATGACGAGAATAATTATTTATCCTTTTTTATAAATAAATTTACGTGAAACGATTGTATCTTGTATGTATATCGGCTAAAATTATTTATTATTTTTTAATTTTATCAGCTATTCTGGTATATATTAAATAAAAACTGATATATTTTAATATTATACGAATATTTTATTTTTTCTTGGGGGGGGGGGTTATTGGCATATTTAGAGGTTAACTATGGTAAGCCAGTTTGCCCCTCTAATTGGAAGTATTCATTCAACCTACTCTTAGGTCCGGTCCGATGTCACGATTCTCTTTCCAAAATATGTTAATTCGAATCCTATTCTGTTGAGAAAAATAAATAAAAGCTCTGAATTAGCGAACAAACTGGTATTTACCCGGAAAGAAAATAATCCCTCGGGAAAACCCCGGGAATTAATTCTCCGGGAAAAATAATTCACCGGAAAAAAAAGTCCCAGGAAAATTATTTCCCGGAAAAAAAAATTCCCATCAATAAATAATTTCCCTGAAACAAATTCCTCATTTTTTAAAAAATTAGTAAAATAGGAAAAATTCCCCATAAATATATATCCGTTCAAATAAGATATTTAACAATTTTGGGAAAATTAGCAAAATAAAAAAAAAAATCCCTGAAAAAAGATGTCCCCTCATACATTGTTAATTAAAATAATTATTTATAATTTTTAAAATCGGCCGGGACTTTTTTAAAATAATCATACCATTTTTCTGTCCGGACGGGTAAGTCTCTGCTTTAAATAAATGGAAATCAAAAATTTGTATTTTTAAATTCATTTCTCGAAGTTTTGAGGTTTCAAGTCATTCAAAGAAAATTAAATAAATTTAGGTTCGCCTTTTAACATTTTCCACAACTTTTAGATATTTATAGAAAAAAATTAAGGCTTGTTTATGACTGGAAATTTTTTTATATGAAAAATCAGTTTTTTAAAAAAAATATATATTTTAGACCTTTTTTAAAAATTTATTAAATTATTAATCATTTCCATGAAATTTTTGGGAAATGTTAATATAAAATTGGGAGATTATAAATAAGGATTTTCACAATTTCCTTCAAAAATGGTTAGACATACGAACTTTTTTCAATCAGCTGGATAATAACGGTGATTCGTTTAACTCTCCTTATATTCTCAATTCCTGTAAATAAATTTTTTATCTGAGCATTTTAAAAATAATCTACTGTAATCATTTCATATTCATTGTAACCACTACATATTATTTTGTTGTCACGTCTTCTTTTAAAATGTCAAAAATCTATGAATACTTTTTCTTCAAAATAAAGTTTAAAAATTTAAATTATATATAAAGTCTAATATGATAGATTTTGAAATAAGTTTCAAGAGATTCATACAATATTTTTTGCATGCCTTCCAAGTTTTCATTTTTATACATAATGTGCATTGCTATAACTCACTGGTATAATAGAAGATTTTATCCTTCCTTTTCTTTTTTTCTCTATTGCAAAATTATGATAAATAAATTTCAAAAAATTCTATTGGACAAAAAGAATAAATTTTCAATTATCTCCGAAGAAAGAGAGAATGCGGGATATTGTGTAAATAAATCTTTGTATTCCAATTTATATTTGATATTTTTTTTGAATTAATTATCTATTTAGCCTATTGCACTTGTTACTCCGCTGATGCTTAGAATATTTAGCAGGAAACGCTGCTAGTAATAATAAAATATGGTGCATAACGCCTTTTTTTTATTGTTATAATGCCTTTTTCTGAAAATATTTATTCAAATTGGTGGAGATTAATCCCTACTTTGTTGGCACTCCAATCCTCAAATATCTGGATCAAAACTCTGGCCATGAATGATTTGAAGCCGTCATTAGGGCCAGTCTTGGTTCTTTGCTATCCTATGAGGAGCTAGCTGAGGGTGACCATAGGGTATAAACTAGGCTGTGACCTATGTCTACCCCATAAATTGAAAAGGGTATGGTCTAATTATATTATAAAGGACAATTCGATTGCCATAGACTATAACTCAATCTCGAACAAATTAGGATTGGCCAACTACCCAAACCTCCTGGAACCCGCTCACCTCTCCCGGGAAATGACCAGATGGGCTCACAAATATTCCTTGGTTTAGAGGAAAACACCTTATTTGGGATTTCACTTGTTTCAATTTTCCAGTAACCCAAACATTGATTCGATTATTGCACATCAAAGGACAAAAATTAGAAACTACCATGACTTTTCAGATTTTCACTTTATCTTAATAGTTATTTTTATCATTGGGTCCCTAGGCTCCCCAAGCTATCATTTTTTTAATATTTAGGTAAAAAAATTATCAAATTAATGGTGATCATGGATCCTCTTTTAAAATGTTATTCAACTCAAATCGGCATATTCTGAGCCAGGATCCCAATAAGCGTCTCTTATTGTTCCCCCATCACTTCTTATATGTTTTTTTAAATATAGTTTTTATATTTGTCTTTTTTAAAATTGTTTACATGATTTTTTTTTAAATATTGTATATAAATAATTGGATCAAAATTTACCTTATAGTTATTTTTTAATATTGAATAAAAAGAATTATTAAAAAAATTTAGTTATTATTTCAATTTATTCGATAATAAAAATAGACTCATGCTTAAACTAAAGGATTCTTATTGTATGAACCTGTAGGCTGAATCGAATGGCATCTGTCGAATGCACAGCAACTGGGAAGGAAATGTTAATATAAATCTAGAGTGGTGTTCTGGCTTATATATTTAAGATTTAACTTATATTTAAAAACGAACCATACCAATGGACTTTTAAAAAATGGAACATTGTCTTAAAAATATATGATTTGATTATAAAGTCCTATAACAAGTTCCAGACTTATTACCATGTTTATCTAAGAAAAATTACATATTGTCATTTTACAAAACACTCATACAATCAGAGGTGAATACAGGCATTTTACAAAACACTTTTATAAAAAAATTCTAAAATTAAACAAATACCAGCTCAAAAATTATCAGGGATAATAAAAAATTAATTAAAGAAAAACAAAACTAATAATAAACATGCAATGAAAAAGTAATTGGGCTCGATATGATTTTGTGATGAATTGATGCTAACCTAAACGATTTATTCATTATAATGCTTTAAAAGTGAGCAAATATTGAAACCCATCATTGAAAGGTTTTTAGACTAATACAGCAACGATCATTATCCCGCTTTAATTATGTATATTTTATTTTTCTAAATTTTAGGAATTTTAAAAATGGAAGAAAATGTAATGTTGAGTAAAAGTGTTTTGTCTTGTCTTGGTTGTTGCGGAGGAAAAGAAAATATACTAAGCAATTGGGAAAACTAAAGAAAGTTATACAATAAAGAGAGCTAATTCTTACCCCCGAATTTTGAAAAATAGTGGTGCTCTAGGTGTTTTTGAAAAAAATATAGCAGTACTTTGTGACAACATTGATATAAACCATATCAACCTATTTCTCGCTACATCTCCTTTCTTGTTTTTTTACACATTTCGCTTTCTATATCCTTTACAGTGAAATGTTTGTTATTATTAAATATACAAAAAAAGAGGGTAAAGAAAGGAAAGGTTTTATTAATTCCTAAACATATTGAAACTAAAAAGGTGAAAGAAATTAACCAAGCTAGAATATCGTGTTTTTACAAAAATTTTTTTTACATATTTAATCTATTATGATAATCACAATTTTTTTAAAAAAAACTTGATTTTTAGAAAAACTATAATATAGTAAACCAATGTGTCAAAACAAAAATCTTATAAATGAATATTATATATTATCAGTATTTAAAATATTTAAAATTTCTTTAAAGTAGTGTTATAGTATAGCTTAACAAATCATTTTAAGATTTGATTGGAAGGTGGATGGAGGAGGGTGGGGTGGGGGCTTATTTTGTGAATTTGTCTTGGAACTCACCATATTTTGATCTGTCTAATCTATAATTTAGTTTGTTATCCTTAGAAAAAGGATATATTATAGTCTTGGCATTTGTATTATTTTATGAATTTTTTTTTTAATCTGAGAATTTTTCAGATATATTTTGCAAGAATTATTTATTCTTACTATTTGAGTTTTATTTGAGCTTTAAAAAACAATTCAGATCAATCAGTATTTTTCCTGTTCTCATATTTTTAGAGTTTAATACCTTTACTATATTTATGTTAATTTCCTTGTCACTATCATATATCATCATGCAAATTCTCATACAACTGTATAAACTCTTTTTCAACGCTAACTAAAGATTTCTGAATGAAAGAAGTGACCGAGTGAGAATTAGATATTTAAAAAATGTTTGCAAAATCGGAGGGAATGTGAATTTGGCGCTGATGAAAAGTTTTATGGTAAAAGATAGAGGAACCGGTGACTGAAGTTCCAGAATTTAAATACAATAGTTTGAAAATTGTAGATATAAATATTATATTCAAAAAATGTTTTCAAAAGCTAATAATGGAACGACAAAATGGTCAAGGTGATATTGAATCGTTTTATAACGAAGAGAGGATAGAGGATGTGAAGTAAAAAACAAAATTTTTATAAAATCAAAAATCTATGTGTTGATGCTAAAATCCCTAAATTTGAAAGACATAAAGAAAGGCAGAGTTGTATTTGACCCGGATAATAATTCCTTAATCGCGCTATTGATGTGGTGAAGATGAATATGTGACCAAAATGTTAAAACGCAATAAATTGTGTGCCGACGATTTAAAATATCTCCCATAAAATATTTTATGAGTGAACTAATATAGCATTGTTGCAGATAATTGATCGAGATGATCGCGCTATTAAGGTGTTGATGACGAATGAGACCAAAAGGTTGAAACATAGTAAATTGTGTGCTGATGAATTAAAAATACCCGTAAAAAAATCTTTGAAAGATATGAAAACAAAGAGAGCTAACATAGCATTGCTGTGTTAAATAATTGATCATAATATGGTGCTGATGTGGTGAAGATGAAAGAGAACAAAATGTAGAAACGTAGTAAATTATGTGCTGATGAATTTAAAGTACCCCATAAAAAATATTTGAAAGAAATAAGAAATAGACTCTAGATAGTATTGCTGCGGATGACACAAT